GGGGACCTTGCAGGGGGAAACTGGGGGGGCATGGTACAGAGTGGGTGCTGGGAGGATGGGGGACCTCATGGGGGGGGAAGCTAAGGGGCTGTGGGGGGGGGCGTGGTACAGAGTGGGCGCTGGGGGGATGGGGGACCTCATGGGGGGGTGCAGGGGAAGCTAAGGGTGTGGGGGGGCACGGTACAGAGCGGGCGCTAGGGAGACCCCATGGGAGGGACATGAACAGCTTCTCGTTGTCTGGGGGCGGTAAGTGGCCAAGCTGGGGCACCCCAGGCACTGTCCGAGATGATACCCCAAGAGACCTGTCCCTTGGCTCTGGGGTGCTGCCTTCCAAGCCCCTCCCAGGGGAGGAGAGGTCCCGGGGTTCCCCCACCCCGGCGCCGTCCCCATTGCCCCCTCTGGACTCTCCGCAGTTCGCCTGCAGCCACGTGCCCCTGCGGGACTGCGCCGCCCGCACCCTCAATGTCACGCCCGAGGCCGTGGGGCCCTGCCAGCTCCGCACCCTCAACTACTCGCTGGGCTCGGACGCGCCCCCTTGTGACGGGGACGCCCCGGCCTGCAACTTCCCCGAGGTGAGAGCCCCCGCGAGCCGGGGGCGTGGTGTGCAGGGCACAGCTGGGGGGAAGTGCAGGGTGCCAGGGCCCTGGGCGGGACGTCTCCCCGGGGCGGGGGACAGAGCGGGCCCCCTCGGGCGGTGGACGGGGGTGAGGATGGGAGTCCGGGGTGGAGGTTGGGCCCTAGAGGGGTCTCCCAGGGTGTGCGGACGCTGCAGTGTAAGCTCCGGCTCAAGCCTGACCCCCGCCCATTCCGTCTACACACACGAGTGGTGCTGTCCCAGGACCCCGCGGGGGGGAGGGGCCGAGCCGGGAGCTGCGGTTCTAGGCCTGTTGCTTTGCAGTGTAGACGTGGCCCCACTGGCCTTGTGCTCTGGGCATCAGCCAAAAGGATCTGACTTCCGGTGTCCTCTGGACGGTCCCGTTTCCCCCACGAGCCGGGGCGTGTGCGGCTGGCCTGGGCGCAGCCCGCGGGGTAGACCCAGCGTTCACCATTCCCACCCTGGGGTTATGGACGCGCAGGCCCTGGGGCTGCCCCCCGGAGTACCCCCGCCCTGGGCTCCCGCTACAGCACGGCCGGACCCTGGGCGCCCTGACGCCTCTCTGCCTCCCCCAGTACTTTAACTACAGCATCGTGCTGAGCCTGCTGGCCTGCTCCGTCTTCCTGCACATCAGCAGCATCGGGAAACTGGGGCTCACGCTGGCCATCGAGGGGCTGTACCTGGTGCTGGCCGAGGGCCCCGAGGCGCCGCTCTTCGACAACTACGACTTGCTGGTCGCGGCCAACGCCCTGTGAGTGCCTGGTGCCCCACGGACCTCCCCCTCCCCCGAGGGCCAGGGCTCTCCCCCCTGCGCCTCTCCCCCCACGGGCTGGGCTCCATCCCCTGTGATATTTCTCAGGGCATCCAGGACTAGGAGTCACCTGTCTCCAGTGAGCGGGAGCCTTGCTTGTGCGTGTCTGGTGCAGGTCCTGAACGACACGCCTGTACCAGCCAATGCCCCCTGGACACGGGCAGAAGCCGGCCCCAGTCTGAACGCATTGGCACAGGGTCAGCCCCTTGCTCCACACCGCAGTGCTGGGATTTGGGTAAAGGGTCTCGCCAGAATCTGGAGATCGCAGAGTTCGTGAGCGAGGAGAACGGAGACCAGAGGGCTGCAGATCAAATCCGAGTCCACTTCCTGGCCACCGACTCCAGCCAGCCAGCCCTCTGCGGCCACCCGTCCCTCGCAGCTTCCAGCCAAGGCTGGCTGAGGGCCCGTTTCCAGAAACGCAGTCACGCTGCCGATAGCGTCCTGGGTGCAGGATTGGGGGCGTCTCCCTCATCTGCTCTATCTGTCCCCCAAACTCACAGCCCCACAGGCAGGATCACCCCCTGGCATATTCCCCGCTGCGGTGACACCCCCCCCCCCATTGACTTAGGATGTCAGTGACTCAGTGATGTGAACTGACGTCACACACACACACACACACACACACACACACACACACACACACACACACACACACACACACACACACAC